CTTTTTTTGCAATAAATTCTTTGTCTTATTATTTCATCAAAATATTTTTGAATGTCAGAAAATAAAGTCATTTTAATGGAGAAATAAATAAATTATATAAAAAATTCTTTCTTTTCAAAGTTTCAATTTTTCATCAAAACCTATGAATTGCCCTTCTAATAGATTTCTAAAATTCATATAAAGTCATACGAGATGGTTTTTCGAATGTCATTCTAACGTGTATGATCGCGCTTGAGCGGTTCATGTTATCCGTGCAATCCGATCAGCCATTAAATTAATTGAAGGCCGCAACAGGTGCAACAAACTAATCGAAGCATAATTGACAGCCTCACGAGTAGTCTCATTACAATCCTCACTAACATCAATATTATCGCTTCAAGTCGTCATCTTCATCGCTGACTTAATTCCATTATTGTTAAGTAGCTACATCGCCGTCGTCATCATAAAATGTATTCTTATTGTCATCATATCTTAATTATCGTCATCGTGGTTGTTGTCAACACCACACCTACGCTCATTGCATCATTTCTCCAAATGAATTTTAAATCGTCATCATCGTTTTTGTTATCTTTTCCAAAGTAACCACTAACAAACTTTTCCTGTCTTTCCGCATTTTGTTGAGCGGTTCCAAAAAACGGTGAGCCACGCACATCAACATTTAAAAATATAAAGTTCTTTGTTAAGTTGCAAATTTAATCTCATCAAATTTTTCGCATCAGTTTAAGCTGCTTTGAAGTTTTGCCCAGACTGCCTTTGAACCAGGCTTGCCCATCATCCATTGATAAAACAATTGTATCAGCACTTTTTTTGCCTGTGCTAACTTGCACAACCACATCATCCATCAACCATTCACAAATTATACTATCATTATCATCGTGAAAATCAATATTTATATTTGCATTCAATTCCCATGAAAATACTTGAAACGTATTCACGTGATAACTGCTGTTCTACTGCCATTTTCAGTTTGCAGCACTAACTAACCAGCCAGGAAAATTATATATTTAAATGAAGTACGAAATGAAGTTCCTAACACGATAGCATGCTGAGAGGCATGTTGTAGGGTATCAACATCAAATATAGAATATATGAATATATGCATATAGAATACAATGCGCAGACGAACAATTGAAATTAACGGAACATTAGCAAATGAACAAACACTAACTGTTCTTCACAAACATCTGCTCGTTACGTGGGGTTGCTTGGCAACGCATCGAAACATCTTCACAATATTCTTCTGTTTATTTATCATTATTGTCGTCGGCACACATTTTGACATTGTAATAAAAAGCTGGTAAATTAATAATAATTAATAATAAATTAGCGGGAATGTGTTTGTTGACGAGTGAATCTATCTAACCAACTGCCACAAAGTTTATCGTCTCGAGAGGAGAAACGCATTCAACGGACGAAAAGAACAGCAAACCGCACAACACGACAAATCGTCATATTTTGTTTGGTGTGGTTTGTCATAGTGAGTGCATTAGCTCTGATTAATTTTATCAATATATTGCATTCAATTTTTTGCCTCTCTTCCTCTTTTTTTCTCCTTTGTTTATTTATTTATTTATTTATATGTATATGTCATGTATATCACATTGATGTAAGCTAAATGTACTTCGCCATTTAAACGAACGTTGTTTGGAACGTCATCAGGACAGGACGAGATGTGTACGAGTGAGTGCCAGCGATATTTGAACTGAGCAGTTAGAAGGCAGGCAGATATGTTTGATAAAAGGCGATTTCACAGATTAATTTAACTCTCATCTGCATCTTTGTTTTGATGGGACTTTTGTTCTGTTGTTCTATCACTTGAGCAGTTACATCAGTTACAGCACACAAACTCAGACGTATTTTTTTTGGCAACACACACAAACACAAAAACACAGGTCCATACGCACATAAGAATACGCACACACATATATATTAATGTGTGTGCGCGTGTATGATCGTATAGCTCAGGCGGTGTATGATTTCGACATCCATTATACAAAATCCATATGGTATATTGATCAGGTCTCATGTACTTGTTTTTTTTTGCGTGAGACTGAACATGTCACGTATATGTATGTAATTGTATGCTTATATGTTTGCATGAATTTGTGTGTGTTTTCTGTAAACGTCTATGTAGGTTTGTGTGTGTTCGTCTGTGTACGTTTCTTTATGTTTATGTTTGTGTTTCTGTGTTAGTTTGTGCGATGTTGAATGTTTTTGTGTCTACATCTGTTCGTGTGCTGATGCGCGTGTGTGTATTCATATGGCCGTGCAAATCATAAGCCTGATAAGGAACAAAAGAATTGCTTGGTGCTGCTACTAATGCAGACGTACGTGTGCATTTGTGTTTGTGTGTGTTTGTGTTCCGAACGGTGTGTGGTGTGTGTGACTGAAGTGAATTGTATGTCTGTAAGTTGCGTTGTTGTGTCATGTGTATGTTTTCGTGTGTGTTTCTCAGTTCTGTTGTGTTCCTCGAATTTATTTCGGTATAAATGATTTTCTGATTTTCTCCCTTTATTTTTTAATTTGCACCAAACTGCATCTAATCTGTGTGCTACTGATTATTTCCTGTACTAATGTATTTATGAAAATTGTTGGTGTTTTATTTTATCTTATAAATTTTATTCATAAATATTGTTCTTTTGTAATATGAAGACTGAATTTTTAATATAACAAAAAATTCGTTTTTTTTTTTTGCAAAAATATGTGTAATAAAACCATACCACATTAATCTGTTTACAGAAATATACAAGAATAAAAATACAACATATACACATACACACAGACTAATGCACACACACACAGACTAATGCACACACACACACATACATATACAATATATAAGTAATATATATTCACTTATCACGCACGCATAATGTACACAAACAATGATGTATTCGACCCTGTTTGATGGCTCATAAATGCAATAACACGTCACACAATGTATGGCTGTATATATAGTTATACATACATACATATATGTAATATATTTGTGTGTATGTGTTTGTTTGTGTAAATATTTATGTGTGTGTGTGTTTGTTTGTGTAATGTAGGTCACCAATGTTTGTTCTCCGTCATTCAAATCGATGATAGCAAACAGAAAGGTCCCTATCTGCCAACGACTTCCAGATTATTGCGTATTATATATTTATACACGGTTTTATAATTTTACATTTTCACATAAAGGGAAAGTGTGTATGTGTTTGTTGTTCATGTGTTGAGAGTGTCGATGTGAGTTTTATGATGAATTGAATCAGTGACGGTGAAATAATATTGCAATCAATTATAAATATTCGTTTTAGTCGTGTGAATGTTGCAACGAAGTTATGTTAAATATTCACATCAATTATCGATAGGTATTTTAGCAGTAATTTGTTTGATCATTTTTTATTTTTTAAAGATTAGTTTTACGTTATGCAAAAGCCATTCATTGATGCGTTCGTGCGATTTATTTGCACTCGAAATTTTTAAAACGTCATCTGAATGAAGCACGACTTTGGAAACACATCCTTCATTTGCATTTCTGTTTTTCTAATATCTGGTCAATTTCTGAATTTACTTAACTTTCCTTGAATTACTTTAAAAAAATGCCTGCAACCAGTTTACATATTTCTTACAACTGATCGGAAAAAACCAAAACATATACAATTTCATTATTGTTTAAAACCGAACTAAAGTCACATTTTCTTTTATGGAATGTTTTCACAGCCAAATAAGATTCTGGAAAAATTTGTTGAACATTTACCTAGGGTTACATATAAGAAATTATATTACCAATCAATTAATAGTTCATACTGAAAATATATTCATATTTACCAACCTTTGGAGTCAATTCACTCAACTTGCCTGGAGTCATGGACCTTTCACGATCGCATTCAAAATTCTGTCATTAATCACTTTGCTGTATTTTAATTATTAAAAGCAAAAAATTGTGTTTATTTATCATATTTTGAAACATTTTATTTCAATTAATCATCATAATTATCATCTTTCCATTTATCATTACCATCATCCGCCATCATTCTTCTCATTAACGTGCACCATTAACAGGATTTTACAAATAGCTGGAAGAAATTTTTGGAACTTGAAACTCATGAGACGGCAAATGAGAGAGGGCAGAGAGTATCATCTCAGTAAGACACATCTTAACACACCTCAACATATCTCAATACAAGACACAACTCGAACACCTCAACACACATCAACGCATCCCAACACAAGACAACATTTCAGCCCATCTCAACAGAATACAACCTGATATACATCTCACATCTCAACAGGACACATTACAACGTACAACCCATCACATTCGAAATACTGTAACACAACACCTTCAAACTCACATAAACACTTATCATAATAATACATATAATAATATAATAATATATATAATAATACATATACATAAAACAAATAGATAAACATTCATCTAACGGATATAATGTGGCCCATACAAACATACATTCAAACCAGCAAAAAAAGATGACATACACCAGCAATCCGCTCACACATATACATTATTTTATTTGACCCCACAAAAATATAGCGACACAAGTTCACAGAACCCAGTAAATTTTCATATACAATCCATCCATCCACAATTTTGTCACTTGGACCAAGGAAGGAACCGAGTCATTTATTACTCGCCTAGCTTCAGCCTTCAGCACATGTACAAGGACTGTTGAGTGTTGAATCATCAAGTTATTCTTCTTCAAACTGCTGAAATGCAAGCATTATGATGATGAGGAGGAAAATGATGATGATGGATTGGCATGGTGATAACAATGATAATACTAATTGGATGATGTTGATGATGGTATTAATGAATAAAGAATTGATATCGAAATGAACGTTGCAGCAAAAAGAACCACTGAGAATCATGTTGATAATAATTGAAGTTATACATTATGTTTCATCTGCTGAGTGATTCATAACAAAAAGTTTATACAAAAATTTATTAAATTTTTGATTAAGTTTTTTCCTTATGAATAAATGGAAATTTTGAACGTAAAAATTGATTTTCAAAGCAAACAACGGTAGTGAATAAATTCTACAATTCGAAAACACTTCCCAGACGTACATTGTAGTTACGTCTGGGAGGCAACTCTGAGCAAATAGACGTCTGCCAGAATTTTGAATAAAACAACTAATGCTCTTAAAATAGTTGCAAGACAAACTTCATGGATTCAATTAGTTATTTTCCAACGTTTTTTGCTCTCCAACAGATCATCTCCGCATTAGTTTCCACGGGAGAATGTATCTAACAAAAAGGTTTTTGTAAATAAGTTTGTGTTATTAAAAATTTCAGACATATTTCTAAGCTTTATTATTTAATTTTTTAATTAAGTAAATAAAACGCTGAACATGTTAACAAACTGGAATGCAAATATTTAAGCTAATGGCTTTTTAAATTTTTTTTTCAAAATTACTAGCAAAAATTTATTTAATAACGTAAATATTCTACCAATTAATTCTTCCAGTAAATTATTATTAACAGAACAGTTTCGAACGAATAAACCGGATACGTTTGGTTTACCAAACAATTTTCAAAGATTTTGATTAAATGAAAAAAATGCATAAATGGTTGTACGTTACAGAATCCAAGTCAAAATGCTCGAAGAAAAAGATGACTACATTCAGAAGACGAAGCTTATCTTAGCATTTTCCGTGTTGCCTTGGTGTGAAATTTGTATGTTCGAATGTACATGTTGCATAAGTTAATAGAGGTTTGTGTGCTGGTTTGTATGAACCACACCTACCTGCATTGCATACATGCAAATGTTTGAATGTACAACCCTTCAAATAACAACTAAGGCACGCGGTGAATGCCAAGAAGGCTTCCATTCTACATAGAGTTTTTTTAAAATCATTTTGTTGTTATTTAATTATATTATAAATTATTTCATTAACCTTTGAATAATAAAGTAGTAATAGTATTTAATAAGTGAAATGATTATCCCTAAAAGAAAAATAGTTCCGAAAATATTCCTTTGTTGCATAGTTTAGGACTTGAAGCAAATTATGTGAGCAAAAATATTCTTTCAATCTAAATGAAAACTGTAAACCATCCAATATGAACTAGACCGAATATTTTTCAAACCTGGAAATATTGAAAATTTAGACAATATATCCTGAAAGATATAATTAAACATCTATATTTCGTCTAGTAAGAGATTTAACGTTAAGTGTTGTAACTAATTATGTTGAAAAGTTTAGCCGTCTTGGTCGTAGAGAAAGGAATTGACAAAACCATCTACCTACCTACCAAAAACACATTTAAAATCATTAGTATATCTCATTCAAAACATTTTTCAAATAAACACATTGGTGACCATTGACAACCATAATTCTTTATTTTGTCAAATTATTAATATTTTTTTATTAGCAACACGTCCTTACCAAATAGTCATTATATCATTCCAGGATGATTAAACACCATAAATATTTAAGTTTTACATTTATTTTTGACATTTTCCTAACATTTTAATACAATTTGTACAAATATTCTGATCAATTTTTTCCCGTTTGTGTACATCGATTGAATAGTCTTCAATATACTCAACTGAATGTTATTACACCAAAATTTTGTTGGCTAAACCAAATTGAAAAATTTGTTGTAATAAAATTACTTTTTATGATTTAAATATTTATTTCTAATAAAATAAAATAATAAAATGTATTATTTTGTGATTTTAATCAATAAAACGAGTAACAAAAGTCGTATTTGGTCGAAATGATTTGTTTGTGTCAGTCTTACCTTTATAATAACCACCATGAAATGTCGCAAAATCTCGACATTACATTATACACAAGAAATTATGAAATTGTACATGGTTTTAGCATATTTTTTCAAAGTTAAATTTTTATTTATTAAATTAAAACCGTGTTTTAATTATTTACTAAATGTTTAGCCAACAGTATGCGGTCTAAAGCTCGGCGATGGATGCTACAAACGTAGGTGTAGTATTGATAGATCTGTCTTTTTTTGTTATCAAAATTGATATTTTTTATTATTATATTCATAAGAAACTGTATGCATTTTAGAATGTAGCAAAAAGAAAAAAGTTTGAAAAGTTAAAAAAATATTTGAGAAAACCAACTCTATTGAAATTTTCGAAGAAAATTTTTTTAATTTTTCTTATACTAATTGGATCAAATGTAATTTACTTTGTTAACAGATAAACTGTGGCATGGAATTGTAAAACAAAAAAATCAAATAAAAATATAAACTGTGAATGTATTATTATCAACACTATTGTCGTTATGGTCATCGTCATCAGTAACATCACCAAAAATTTTGTAAAGATGTGCCTGGATGATTTGAGATGATGACAACCTTAGATGTCGAGAGGAAGGGCTTGGAGGTGGAGATGAAGGGCTTGGAGGTGGAGTTGAAGGGCTAGAAGGTATTGACCTGATGCGGCTCATCCCATCTTTCTGACTGAAGATCTTATGACAAATTGTTTATAATGAAACATTAGTGAAAGAAACATCTATAGACATTACGAACATAAGTTTATTCTGAAGTTATCTTTAAAATATATATTGTTGGACCGAAATCTGAAGAGCTATCAATTTAAACCTCATAAACGCAATAAGTAGCAACATCATCAAATTATCCATTAACCATAATTAACCATTATTGTTTTCATCGGCGTTTTTATTGTTGCTATCTCAACCAGCTTATTAATTAGTACATTGCTGAATGCCCCCTCGTTCTAGAAAATAATTATAATGATGGTACATAAGTCAGATGTAGTTGGTCTGTTTCATGTTTCAGAAATTAATATTTTATAAACATCGTACCTCAAAAACACAAAATGAAAACAACACTGATTAAATTGCATATGGTTAAAAAAAAGTTGATTTTAAATTCTTTCATATTCTCGGTGAATTTTTTTAAATTATTAAATTCATTTGGACATAAGTGTTGTTGATATTGAAGGTAAACAAAAAAAATGTTAGGAACATATTTTCAATTTAATTCACATCTCGGTGGTGATTACGAACGAAAATAATTTTTGTTTATACCTCATTTTTTCACGGTGTGCATATTGAAATTAATATTTTAATGCAAATTTCCCAAAAAAATTCTGTTTTTCAAGGAACAGTAAACATGTTGAAACCAAAATTCAACTTTTACCCAAACATGTTTTTGTGTGGTGGGATTTCAGCCCAAAAGTTACCTTCTGCTGCATTTTAGACAAAAATTTTCACAAATCTACATCATAATAACGGTGGAAATAACAGCTTAGATAATTTGCACAGGTAACGCTGTTGGGTTGGAAGGAAATATATTTCAATATTTATAAGTCTAAGCGTTATTGCACTAGTGAGGATATTCCTATGTAAAAAAGATCAGCTGTTGTTTTGTCGTACGAATTTGTTTTTTTTAACTTTTCATCAATGTCCTCAAAATTAAAATATCAAATGCAAAAGAAAACATCGAGATTTTAGGCTTCATGTCTTGTAACTCGAAAAGATGAGTCCTCTAGCGAATGATTATGCTTTTCTCCAAACGTTTGATTCGTTCGATAGTTTCCCATAAATGTTTAGTTGGGGAATTGAATTAAAAAAGTGTATGAGTGAATTTATTACAAATGGACAATAGACAAACATTTGAATCAATATATAAACAAGCTATATGAAGCTTTGAACAGTCAAACATATTTCTTCATGTTGTTATGTGTTACAACAGAGGTTGAAGTTGAAAGAGTTGTGTGTTACAACAGAGGTTGAAGTTGAAAGAGTTTCACAAGCTATCAACAAATGGATTATTTTTTATTTGAAACCAATAATTGCAGATGACATTTTAAGCATAACTACATTTTCTTCAACAAACAAAAAGTTGGTTTTTCAAACATTAATTTATTGATTCAATTGATTCTACAGCATGAATCAAAATTAATGGCAGGCTTGTCGCAAAGTCATTCAACATGCCTGTACACAGAGTCATTGTGAGAGAACTCAATTTTTATCGAAGCACATACGGACCACGAAGCTATCATTAGCATTCAAACTACCAGCCCAGCGGACCGATGCATTTGGAAACTTCCTTCCATCGATCCATTCGACGTGATTTTGTTACCAATTTGAATTTCTGCTTCTAGGTCATCCATCTTTTCTATTATTTTTTAGCACCTCTGCAAAATTATATAGTCTTCAACTAGAGTTGCATCTGTATTATAAAATCTTCCAATGAAAATGTTACGTAACTAATTCATAGGAATACTTTAAATTTGTCAGTTGCAACTCAGGAAAAATAATTATACTATATTTTTTTGGAAATTTAATTAAATGAGAAAATGATTGTAAACAAACTGAAGGATGAGAGCAAGTTATTGCAAGTTGAAAGTTTCTAATTCAATATGGGCGGTACAACTGAAGCAAACAATCCCAAATTATACGCCATTGCTGTTTCGAAATATGGGTATTTATCAGTAGCAGGCTCTCAAAATATACTGCTGTTCATTCAACATTCAATTGATTATATAGGTTATAAAAATATATTTTTATTGATTATCTTGATTGGCATTTTACATTGAATACTCGACACACAATTTGGGATATTTTATAGTATTTCGGGATTTTATTTTATCATTATTTTTTTTTAAATTATATAATTTGAAGTTGTTAAATTTAAGAAATTGCGTGTACATAAACAGAAAATAGAATGACGACGACGAAAAGTTTTCAAAGATAAGTGTGAAAAGAAAGATGCACAATGAACGATAAATTAAGGCCACAATAGCAAGTGAACATAACATCCGCCCTAGACACAGATATTGTTTCTTCACAAAATTTCATTCTGTTGGAAAAATTTGTTCTCAAGTTTCATTCTGCTTTGTAACAGAAATTTTTATATGAAATCCAATCAAAAATGTCAAAGTATCGTCATCGACGTCCTGGGAATCATGACCAAGCAGGCGGTGCTGCTCTGCTGGTCAGCCGGTCATCCTGTCTGTCGGTCGCGCACTGCTACACACCTTCGTTCATACATTGGCGTTTGAATCAATTTTATTACTGTGACACACACACACGCACGTACACAAAAACACACACACAAACACACACACACACACACACATACATACACTGAAACACACTTGAATGTATTTACATAGGCACACTGGGATGGTAAACTTTATTTTTTAAAATCTAAGATTTATTAGGTTTCTCATGTTTTCTAAAAGATTAAAAATCAAATTTTTTCAATTCATTCTATAAACCGTACTATACCTTTTTCTAATTTAATATTTCTGTTTAACTCTGAAATATATAAACACATTTGACACATTCGAAGCGTTTTATTGAGCCCTAGAACATTACTTAAATAGGAAATAAATGGAATGTGGCGTCAAAACAAACGTGTTCTGACGTTCTAATCTTTTTTTTTAGATGATAATTTAAAAAACTCAAAAACCTCACAACTTTACAAATTAAAAAAAACCTAAAAAAGTCTGAAACACTGAAGATAAAACCCTCAAGATTATAGAAACCTAGATATAAATTGTGCAACTTACTCTTTTCAAAGACGCTGAGGTTAATGTAAACAAAGGGAGATGGAAGCATTTGCATAGGTTGAAGTGTGTGCTAATGAAGGTTCCTTTCGCATTCAACCTCTTTAGAGACACTGCAACATAAAAGATGGCACTCCCAACATTTAAATCAAATTACTCAGCAGAAGCCTCAAATGTTGCCCACAGAAATTTTTGTTTCTTGTTTATGCAGTAAATCAATATTTCTCGACTGGAGGTGTTTTGTTTTTATTCGTCGCTTTTAACAAATAACAATTGATGTTTCTTAAATATTGCACCCGCAATCTTAAATACGATCAGTTTTGTTTTCAAGAAAATAAGATTTATGACGATAGTGTTTTAAATAAAATTTTAAAGATCAAGTAAGAATGAAAAACGTTTCAAGCAGTGCCATATTGTTTGTTTTTTTAATTTTTACTCTCTTTTTTGGAAAACATAAACAAAAACATATTTGATAAAAATCAATTTTTTCTACAATTGTAAAACACAAAATAAATCAACGATATATAAATAAAAAACTTTAAAATTGTGTCAACTGAAACTTTTTGCTGCACAAATGTACATAGGTATATGACAAATTAAATCACTGAAAAACGTGTGAATTATCTCTCTTTTTCACACACAAACACACACACACACATGTGTAGCATTCATGCAAACAAATCAACACGTGGTTGAGACACAATTTGCAGCAACGAATGTCAATATCGGGCATGCACTTGTTTAGAAAAATTGTATTAAAAATATATGTATATATATATACACATTTACATAAGTGTGTGTGTGTGTGTGTTTGTGTGTGTATATATATTCCATGTGTCATTAGATGACAAGTAATCGAACCTTGTAATTATGCTACCCGATGGCTTCTAAACGTAACATCATGTCGTGTGCGTGCGTGTGTGTGTGTGTGTCGTATGCGTGCGTGTGTGTGAGCGTTGGGTTCAATTTTTAATCATGGGTTTTTTTACTGGTGTGACTCATCGTGAAATTTTTAAATGTTCACATTAATATCAAAGTTTCTATTATTTATTCTTGTAATGTTTTGCTGTCAGTAAGTAGTAAAATAATTATTAATTGATCGAGCTGACCTTCCGTTCGTAGTGTTTTACATCATCGAACAAAATATAAATTTTACTATTCAACAACAAATGTGTTTGTAAATTGCGAAAGTATTTCAAAAAAAATTTTTATTTTCAACGATCAAGTTTTTCAGACCGCTAGAGCTGTTGATTTGCTAAAACGTAATTTCAAAAATGCACCTATAGCAGCTTTTTCACTTCAATATAAATCTGTGGTTAGGTTAATTCTAGAATATGGTGTGATTGTGCGGTACTTCTTTAGAAAATTCCAAATTCAGCAGCGTTGAGAAACGAGCATCCAGAAAATCACATACAAGGATAGGTTAATGATTCCAGGGTGGCCTTCGCTGGTTTACTAATGCAGAAGAGGAGACATTATATCAACTTATCAATTGCTTAATGGACTGCTGGATGTCGATATCAAACCAGACTACGCACCTACAACGGCGACAAGAGGAAATTGAATGAAGTTGATCAAGTGGACTTGCAGATAAGATGTCAGAAAATACTTCTTTACCAACAGTATGACTGAAATGGCCTACCTGAAAATGTAGTCAAATCAGCTAATGTTACTAGTTTCAAGATAGCCTTAGATAAATTTTGGCAGAGTAAATTCCATATATGGAAGTAAAGATGTCAAACCAAAATATGTAAAATTCAACTAAACATTTTCAACCAAACATTTTATTTTTGAATTATTTATCCTTAAAAACTTTTTACATTATGGTGGCAAGAGGCTTTGCCTTGTCTGCAAATTTACTCTAATCAATATCACATGAAATTTACTGACCTTCATCATGCGGTTGAATTTGTTATATTATTTCACTTGTTCTTAATCTTAAAAGTACTTAATTTTAATACTAACTTAGTTCATTCAAAAAGTACATTTTTTAAACATTTTTAACTTGCATCAGATTAACTGACATAGTTTTCATGGATAACTAACATTTATTTTTAGTCAAGAAAGCCTTTTTATAAGTTTTTTTTACTTTTTTTGGTCTTCAACAATAAAATCTCAACACATTGTATTCTTATCTTTACGACAAGGTGAGTGCTTGATTAAGAAATTGTTTAAAAAGCCGCAGAAAAACTGTGATAAAATATGAATTAGCATTATTTCACCGTTGTATGCTAACCACATCGATGCGATGCAAAATGTGAAGAATGGAAGACGGACACAAAGCAGCGTTGCATATCACTCAACTGAACATCACACACAGCACCATTAATCATTCTTCCATTTTTATTCTAATATATTAGTTATTTCACAATGGATTAGACATTCATCATCTAAAAAAGCAATCAATCGTTCATACAGTGGAACAATGGCTACCGTCCATACGAGCAACATCAACCCGCAATGGACAATCTCTGCAAATGTACATTAAATTAAAAACAATAAAAGTGAACAAAAAAAATTATTTATTAATTTATCGAATAATTAAAAATTAATCAGACTTGAGATATAGAGCACTATCTTCCGACCGTGCAACATCATGGATTTAAGTCAAGTAATTCTTTTTGGAAAAAACTTAATATGCCGCGCTTGTCTCTGAAAATGTACGGAGCCACAAAACACCAAGTTCAAAATGGCATAAATATACATAGATTGATTAACAAATATAATAGTTTCCATTTCAACGACGTGACATCTATCTAGGAATTATAAAATTGAACTTCTGTGTTGATGGAGAATACGCCGAAAAGCTATTTCTTTCCTACTTTAATTACGTTTGGTTTTAAATTGACTTTGAAACTAGGAGTCTGTCGTTTTTTGGTCAAAGAAACCATTTTAGTTTTAACTTCAAATTTTGGCAAAAATTTTTATAACAGAAAGTTGTCAATCAGAGCGCTATTTTTAACTTTACAAGTTTGATTTTTGTTATTTTTGTTTTGTTTACGTACTGTTCACAATTTGATTAAGTAAATTTTTATTTTTTGTGTTAACTCTTTTAGGGGTGGGCGTCCAACAACTTTTTTTGGGTTTTTTATTTATTAAAATTATTTGAAAAACCAAGAATGTTGAAAATATTATTTTATTAATTAGTTAAATAATTAATTGAACAATGCTTTTAAACTTTCAATGAGATTTGGCGCACTCTTGTTCTGTCTGGTTTGTCTTTTTAAAAGTAAAAAATAGTAATAAACAAATATTTTTATTAAATTAGACCAATTTCTGTATTCTAAATTAACGAAATGTTTGCAGCTCTAATGAACTTCAACAACTGAAATGTTTACGAGATGTTCGTGTGGGGAAGATTTAATTTGAAAATCCAAGTCCAATTTTATCTGCTCACGCAATTGTCTTTTATTGCCAAATATAAAAACAAAGGATAAACAGAAGGAGCTTATGTTTTTGGATATGAGTCTTAAAAATTTTAAAATGTACATTAGAAGATGAACTAACTTCGCCGGTTGGTTGCAGTAAATATTGATTTAATGTGTTTGTACAGCAGAAGTTATTGAATTATAACGGCAACACGTCCAACAATTAGACAACCCAACCAAACCCAACCAACCAATTAATTTATTCGTCGGCTTGTCGCTTGGTTGGTTCAGAGGTCACAGTGAGTGGAGGAAAATTAACGGTCGAGGTTAACAAAATATTTTTATGAATAGTTTTGTTACTTACATTTCAGCAATTTACAACAAAAAATATATTTTATAAACATTTCAACATTTACATTCCCATATAATCAAAAAACAAACAATGGAAGCATAGAATAAACTGAAAAATATCTCGCCAGCTTTTTAAGTTTTCCAAAAAGTAAAAAACTCATTCTCAATAAAATTGCTTCCAGCTAGCCCACTGATAGAATTTTTCTCAAAATAAAACTAAATAAAATATTGTTTAACGAACAACTCTGTCAACTAACAAATTAAAATGTAATAATATTATTGAAAAGTTTATTGTTTCTTAATTCTTTATAGCTAAATTTCAGTTGTAGCAGCAATTTTTTAATGTTTTATTTGAGTATAACTAATAAAATGACTATTGAAAGAATCAGCTGGAAATATTCGAAAATACAAAGAAGTTCATTTCAGCCATATCACATCGGAAATGATACAAACAAAAATTTCCAACGAGTGTGTACTAGAATATGATAAATTAATTCAGTCGGGAAACGGCAGAAAATATAATTTTTTTTATGTGAAAAATTAAAGATCCCAAAAGATGAATTGCTAGTTGAAAAAAAATTAATTTAAAGAAATTTTTTTTATTATTTTCTAAAATAAAATTTTTTATTTCGTATATATGCTAAAATCTCAATCAAGCTAATTTCATGAGAAAATTTTATTAAAGTAAATGCATGCAATTGAATTGATTTGATTCGTAATTAATATTAAAAATTGTTATTTTCATTAGTAATTTTAAATAAACACCTCTATCTATCTAGACTATAATATTCTATACATATGTATGTACATACCATAATAATAAAGTACCTCAAAGAACACCGTCAAAATGAACATTCTGCAAGTTGTACGACGATACGCGATGCTAAGCGATGGTTGCCTGGCAGACTAGTGCATGAAAGCGAGCAGATTCTTATAAATAAGTTTGTTTTGTGTCTTCAAGCTTTGTCTCGTAAACAATTGAAGTTATCTCTTTTTTTGATTTTGTGGTAATTTTTTGTTTTTTTTTTATTTATAAATATTTAATATTCGTATAATTCGTATATGCTACGATGTAATTAATAATTCAATCAATTTGATTCTTAATAAACTATTGCAAAATATTTTTATACAATATTCTTTTTTAAAATAATAAAACATTTTTTGTTTATCGGTGAATCGTAAAATAAGATTGACCATAACAACCTAATTCAAGTTGACGTACCAAACAAAACTGACGCTGATTTATAATAATTATATCAGCTTTAGATTCAGAAAAAGTTCTGGTAAGAATATTTATTTGAAAACATTATGCGTTAACATCATCTAAATCTCATTAAATCTCATGTATTTCATGTTCTTTCTATTTGTGGTGGTGAGAAACCCTCTTGAGTTTTTCTAGTGAGAATTAACGTAAAAAATTAACTCAAAAAAATTTCATGCAATCGTGAAATGTTATTATAGAATCTAGAAATTGTTCAGTTAACGAAGGAAACTATAAGCAGGTAGACAGTAATGATGTTACATAATTCTAACTTGAGAAGCAAAGCCGACGATTCCGACCGAAGTGAGGCTTTTTGGAACAACTTCATCAGCAGCGTTAATGATGACAATGACGACGTCACCCATGATACCAACGCAACATACGACACATCCATCAACAACTTTCTCAATCTCCTCTTCAACTCAACAAAAAATATTTTTTTACATTCATTCAACATCTCGACAACAACGACGACGATGACATTCATCGATGAGCAGAAACACCAGCAACCAAGACATTGGATATATTTGTGTCTCTTGATTGTGCCACTGAGCACCATCCTAGACAATAGCTTGGTCATTTTAGCTGTGGCCAGTCAAAAAAATCTGAGAAACATCTCCAACAGGGTCATCGCCAGTTTGGCCTTAACAGATCTATTTCTGGCTTTGTTTGTTGTTCCGCTTAGCATCTACCAACTGGTTAGTCTAGCTTTTAATTATTATAGTATTATTATAAATTATAGTATTTTCAAACAACAAAAACTTACTTTTCCAAAGTAATTCCCCCAAAAAATAGCTCAAAATTTTTCAGAGCAGAGTGTCAATATTAGATTGAATAGTGTGTTAAGTTTTATTTCAAATATGTTCAACTGAAGAATTTTGTAAAATGGTTATTCAAAGTAGTTTCCAATCATTTCTAACTACGACTTCAGGCTTAAATAAACAAATGAAAGAAAGGAGAAAGCAAAATAAAAAAAAAACTGTGTGGCCGTGAATGAGTTTGATGAGGAAAACTACTGGCAGAGAATTCCTGAGTAAATATTTGATGTATTAAAAAGCACTGCTGAAACGAAACAATTTTTGTGCGTCTGTCAGAATTTTAAGTCAAATGATTCGTTCGATGATTTATGAAGATTGAGTTATAAAGCATTTGGAGATTTTTTGCGTATCATATTTGGGGTTAAATGTTAGGATAAATAATGTATGGAATATAAATATATAATTTGTAGTCTTAAGTTAATGTAGCTGAAAATAGACGTAGGCACATTTGTAAAATTTTTTCTCGTTAGAAATATTCTAGATAAAAGTTAATTCTTTTGAAAAAATGGTTCAGATCTGAGAGGACCAGACGGGACGAAAGGTTTTCAAATCATGAAACATTTTGTTCCCTCAAATAATATTGGTTGTCAAATATATTATAAATTAAGACATGATACTATATAATCACCAATAAATGTTTTGTTTCGATCTTGTATTTGTGTTTACGTGTGTTTTGCTGGCACGATGACCTAGCGGATAAGGTCGTCTGGGGTTTTTTGCTTTTTTATGCCCTTTATATAAGAAGTAATACTATGAATCATAATAAAACGAATAATTAATAAGCTACCTTAGTAAAAAATTGATCTTAAAAAATTAAATGTTCAAAGAATGAACATTTTTTGGATATTTCAAATAAGGTTTTAAGAATAACTTAAAAACCACTCAAAAATAAACTGAAGCTTAACGCGCATAATGATTTCGAGATATAATTTTCAAATACTTTAAAACAATCATTCAATTCCCTATCATATGGAATGTATCGTCAATTTAAATTTTTACGATTTACTAAAAACAAAAAATATTAAACCATGGAACGTGAGTAGACATTAAACAACATTTGGCAGCGAGAACTTCCTCCAAGTCACCAAACATCGCCTTATAAAAACATGGCAACCAAATTAACGTGATCACAAGCAGGTTCATTCAATAACGAGTGACACACAGTGAGATAGTGAATTGCTCTGCCGATGTCGAAGGCATGCCACTTACTTAATCTTTCACAACAGACACACGTAAACGCACGTACTCAACACACAGGCATACAGCATCATCTATGGGCAGCATATTTTCTTTTGTAATGTTAGTTCATGGAGAAAAGGAATTACTTATTAAAAACCGTTGTGTAAAGGAAATATTCCGTGTTAACAAATAATCATTTTAAAATTTATTATGCATTATTTCAAATTTTTATCTTTCCTCTTTCAATTTTAAATTTTTTTTGCCCAATTTTTTTCGTCTTTTCTGTCACTTTATTCACCGTTTGCTTGTGTTTCCATTTTTTCCCGGATTGTTGTTTCATTTATTTTATTCTGTTTAAACATGTAGGCCTTTATATATATATATGCCGGGATAGATATATAAATATATAGGCCAGGCCGGGAAGAATTTTATCATATTTATCCATCTTAACAAACAGATGACAATAGAATTAAAACTAAAACGAAATAGCGCATAGCATACAGCACAATGCAAACTTGAACGCCACTGACGTTATGAAAAGTTAAGGTTTGGAAGTTTGAGGTTGAACGATTATGCCGTGTGGAATATCAAATAAGCATACTTTTTGAATGGCGTGACAGTTCAATAATTGTTGCTGTACTAAGATAAATCAAGTAAGATGGTACTGTCATTAGTTAACTAATTAAAATAAGAATAGTTAGTCATATTTATTCAATATCTTTGTTGATGTAATTCTTGTTAACAAGTTTCCAAATCATAATTAGTTTGTTGAATGTGCTTTTGTTATTTGATTGATTCAAAAGCAAGAATTGTTACGTTTCAGGTTTGTTAGCTTAGCGGAGCTTGAAATAGATTGATCTTTGCACCAAGGAATCTAATCTGTTTGTAAATATCATTATGATAACTAACAGCTTGTAGGATCATTCGTCATAACCTTCTTTTATGCATGTTACGCAATGTAGACGACAATTCTTCTGACTCGAAAAAATGTTTTTGAAAGTAAAAGAAAGATTGATTGGCATTAAGTTGTTCAAATGATTGGCAACAAGTGAATCGGTCAAAACGGTTTTACTTTTTGAACATCTTGAAACAAAATTTAACATTTTTTGGATTTGGTTTTGAATAAAAAAAAAGAAAAAATTAAATTAAAAAATTGAAAATGATTCAATTGAACACGTATATAAGGGACATGGAACAATACACAAAAGAGAATCTATGAATACTGGAATCTAAAAAATAAAAAAATTTTGAGTATAAAAACATGCTCTGCTCACTCAGCTGCTGAGTTAGCAACATTTTAACTGACGGCAAGTTGACGGACAGAGATTACAACGAAATAATTCTTTCAAAGTTTATTGCATGTGGGTGGGAACGCACTGACCATCTGGACACTGAAGTGTTTTGGATACATGGAACAACGCATAAAATTTTTTAGAAGAAATGAAAATATTTGTAAATTTATTGTGATTGTCTGTTTATAACAGTTAGCATTTAAAAAATTTAACAGCAGTTAATGTTAATAAAAAATCCCAAAATTGAACGTAAAGTTAGAAACCAAAAAAACAGAAGGAAGTTGTTTTCATTAGAGTAACTCATTTGAAATGTCATTTAAACACCGAATGTTTTCAGGTCTCTGAGGAGAGCATTCAATTAAAAAGGACAAAATAATTTGTCCAAATGTTAAAAAACATGGCTCACGTGATGCACAGCAGGTCGAAACCCTCTGGTTATTTTTAGTTAGCGTATTTAAGTTTAGCTTGAACATGTTTGATACATTTTAAATTTTATTTTAAGTAAAATTTTGAAAAATGAAATTACATTATAATATTTTTAAACGGCTTTTTAACACTTACTTAAAAACCAATTTTTTAATGAGATTTTTAAAATATCAACAAAGTTTTAATAAAGAATTTAAAATTAAATAAAAAATAAATTAATTATAAAAATGGTATTTAAAATAAGAATTTCAAATTTTTAGCTACAATTGTATTGTTCCATGTCACTTGTATAACTGTTCAATGTAAAATTTTCTCAAACTCAAACTGAAACATGTTTATATTGTTAAAATTAGAAACAAACTCATTTCCCTTGGATAAAATTTTAATGAGAGTTTATGTAAAACCATCGAAAAAAGAATTTAGACGCTGATCTGACAACAACTGAATGAAACGGATATGGAAAAAATTATTTGGGAAATCCGTTTCAGGAAATATGTTTTGGGAAACATTTGCATAACTTAATTTTTTCTGTATTTTTAACAAAATTTATATTAAAATCAATTTTATATATAAAGTAGATAAAAACACATTTTGTTATAAATGTTTTATAAATGGTTATTAACAAATTGATATTAATTATAAGCTATTATCAATCAATTATTACAAGTTATTCGTTAATAATTCCGTTTTTGAACTCATGAGAAATCTTAAAAAATGACGAAGTTTAAAAAATTGATTGCCCTGGGAAGCAAATCATACATCATTTTCAAACGTTTATTTTTGCTATTTATTTTCAGAGGCGTAAAACAGAGTTACAAATAAACCAGTAACAACACATTCTTCATTTCCGATGAAAACATTCCTGTGTAACCCAGATTTCAATCAGATTGAAGTCTTGTTAATATTGTCAAAAAATTGGACAACACAGTTTTGCATACAACTCATAGACAGCATTTAGAAATTTTTTCACTGAAATAAGTATGAACTAAAATGTTTTCTTGAAGTTAAGTTTCAGCAGTTCAAACACTACAGTTTATTTCATTTTTGTGAGAAGTTATAAATTTTGAAATATGTATTTGCGAAACGCAACTATGACAAAACATTGGTTAATATTGGCATACAGGAACAATATTTATAAAAGTTATGAGTAAATTGAAAAATATAATTGTTATAGTTTGAAATATATACAAATATATACATGGAAGAAGGTTTGTTATTCATATTTTGTTTTGTATGGCATCAGCCATGGAAAGTTAATGAGCCTACCAACGTAGCGTGCATGCTTGGAAACATTGGTTTATCATTCTAATATTTGCCACGGACAACTTGGCTGTCATCTTTAATATGTTGATCATCATCATCATCATTTTTATCGCATTTTAGACATTTTCTTATTTTCATTCATTATCCTTATCATCTTCGTCGTCATCATCGTCATCTTCATCATCACCATCATCATCGTTCTCGTCGTCACACTCAAAGGAAATACGAATGGATGGATGATACCATAATAATTGTCTCATATTTTACGCTAGCTCTCATATACTATGCTTTTGTTATTCTAATTTTTTGAAGCTGTTCTTATTATTTTTAATATTTTTACAAAAACTGATTATTTTTCAGCTAAATATGTCAATGAATGACAATAAAAATTATTATTAAAAAGGAGGAATTTAAAAATTCCGCAAAAATATTCATTGCAATGTTTCAGAAATTTTGTAAAATTTGTTTTAATAAGTCCACATAGATTATTAGTAGCGTGTCTTATGTATATTTTAAAATATTTCGAAAAAAAAAATGAAAAAAGACACCAAAATAAAAGGTTGCACCAGCAATGTGCTATCACGTTCGGCGCAAATTCCTGTCTGAAAAATATTCCACTTAAAACTCATTCTGCGGAGGTTTATTTGCTAGTTAATCAAGTCCCTTGGTGCAAAATTTATGGCGAGCTAGATTACATCGAGGAAAAATGACTAAAACTTT